CCCCAAAACCCCAAAACCCCAAAACCCCACATTTATAAAATCTTGATAATTTCGAGGTTGATTAAAATTCATAATAAAACTTTAATTAAATGTATTCAAGCAATAACCAAAACTAAAACCAGCAGAGAGATTCCATTCCCAGGATATGCTACTCAATGTCAGCACATGCCTCACCTACATCTAATTCATCCTCTTTGCAATATGATTACTCCAGTGCTTCCTTTGAGGTTCTGAATGCCCCACTCAAAAGAAAGACTTCATGCCAACATGTTGAGCTTACTCCTTGCTAAGCTTGCTAGACATGCAAGATACAGAGGCAAACTCTCAGTGACTGTGGGGAGAATTTGAAAATCAGAATCAAAGATTTTGCCCCTTACCTCAAACCTTAAAATAAGCGAAGCTACTTGCAATGCCAGAAAATGAATGAAAACTAGGAGGATCAAGGAATGCTAAACTTTAGAACTGAACTCATCTAGTATCCAGTAATAGATCAGAAATAGAGTGAGTTTTAGCAATTTTCTGTCAGAAAGAGAGATCAGAAGTATCTTTAAGAGTTAAAAACTCTCTCTTCAAATTTGCACTTTAATAGCGAGGTAAAATATATTAATTAATAGAATATTATTAAACTATTAAAAATAGGACTTATTAAACAACAGCAATTATTAAGAGAGAAAAGTGATAATTCACGATGGAAATGGATTCACTCCTAGCAAATTTCCAGTTGTATACACCTAGTTCAGAAGCTCTAATAAAGTACTTGACACTCAAGATCTACCAATGCATAACTTCTAAGATTATTCAATATAGCCAATGATTCATTCATCTAATAATCATCCAATATATTAAAATTAGAAGGAGTTGCAAAGAAATCAGCAAAACTATATTCAAAGCTTTCAATAGAACGATATAGTAATATCAAATGCTGCAAACAAGCCAATTAAATTACCTCCTAATGATTTCAAAATCTCTTTCTCTTCTAAAGATTTAAGAGAGGACAGTGAGATGCTCCTCATTGATTAGCCGACAGGTTTACCACTAGCAAATGACAATTACTTTGGAATACAACAGCCTGAAAAGAATAGTGGAGTGCAAAATCCTGACTCACTGCTTTCATTTGATTATTAACTCAGCTTTCCAGTAGATTATAGTTCAGAATCTGATTTATCTTCTGAAGAAAAGTAGCCTGTTTAACATTTTTCGGAATTCGATTATGAATGCAATTAATCACAAGATGAATAGGAATGTATGATGGAAGTAGATACACAATAAAATTTACTCAAGTCTAAAGAAAGAACTAAGAGGAATTAGAAGACTTGCACAATCGGAGATCAATTAAACACTAATCAAGAAAGTTCTAATTTATAGATTGGACTGAATGGTAAAACTTATTATGGAAAGAAGAGAGGAAGGAAGCCAAATATTCTTAAAGAAAATGAGGCATTTATGGAAGCAGATCATAACTCAAAGCCAACTTGTAGAAGATATCTGCGTAAATAGATTTTACTTGGTCAAGTGGATAGACCCTATGAGTAAACAAAGCATATTTTAAACCCTGAAGAAGATGGAGCTTTAGAGCTAGAACCTGAAGATTTTGTCAGTGATACTGTGTAAAATGTTGCTTAAATAATCAGATAACCAGTCAGAAATTCTTAACTCAGTCATGACAAGTAATCGTCTATGATGAATCAACAACCTTTCCATTCAGATATTTTTTCATAGATTACCTTTTTCGACAAAGAGCCAAAAGTCAAGAATATGCCATTTCAGAGAATCAACATGAGCTAACTTTCAAACCTCCCACGATTCAATCAAAATGGCATGAATTCAAATGTCATAGAAGAAAATGATGATGACTTTAAATTAAAAATCTCTACAAGACTAAATGGAACTGCCAAAAACTTAAAATCTGATAATTATATCTCAAAAGGTCAAAAGAAGAGAGGCAGACCAAGTTTCAAAGAGCTTGCTTAAAAATTCAGCTAAGTTGTTATATCTTAACCATCGGCACTTTACTCAAGCAAAATAAATGAAACTTAGATGCAACAGTCACTTTCTAAGGTAAGAAGTTAATTTTAAGATCTAACATTTGCTAGGGATTTAATGATGCCATATTATTATCTTAATAGAAGGAAAATCCTCCAATTCAACTTAATCATTATCAAGTTATGGAAATGATGATGAGAGATGATAACTAACCTGAAATTCAAGATCTGTCCTCTTAATAATGATCCAAGTGAATGACTGATGAGCTCTATTAATGAAGCTGCTTCTTATTCAAATATTTCTATCTATTTCATCATCAATTTAATTATAATCTTTACTTAATGAATCAATAAATGTTTTTTTCGGGGTTTTGGGGTTTTGGGGG